TTTGGAGCAAGATAAACCAACCTGAGCAATAGCAGCAACTCGTTCAGCCAAAGTACCATATGCATGGGATAGATGCTTTGCTGCAGCAGTGTCCATCACTCCAGGAACAACTTTACCATGACTGTTCTTCATGCGCACATATTGTTGAGCGATAACTGTAAAAGATGCAGGATCCCACCCGTCTCCACCGACAATTTGCACCTTGGAGGTTAAACATCCATTTTCTGGGGTCAGCTTTCCAGACTTTATTGCCGCATTAACCGCATCTTCTGCCATGCTGAAAAATTTATAGTTAGCAAAATATACTGTTGCTTAGTTTCAAACGGAAAACCTCTTACCTATAAGTATAAACTAAATCATCTCAGCTCAACCAAATAAACCTTACCCACGGTAAGTGGTCCACTTGCCACCCGTGATTGTTACCAAACCAGGATAATCTTCACATACAACATGATCTCTGGAGATGCTCTCAGTGCTTTTCGCAGATGGATCCGTTGCCAATGGGCGAATACCACTCCACGCGGAGAGAACATCTGTGCGGCGTACCTATATTTTCCCAGCATTGCTTTAGTCTCAACAAGATAACTAACAAGAAAAAGAAAGAGAAAGACATCTAGATTGAGTTACAGATCTAAATGTCTTCCACTACTTTCCGCATTTGGATATCAATTATCAACCCGAGTAAAAAATTCAACTAGTCAGAGAAGTCCTTAAGGAGATGTGTTACACTGAGGAAAATAATAGACAATCAACTGATCAAGCAGCTCGTGTTGATAATTAATATCCAAAAACAGATCACAAGATCACACTGAAATCTACACACAATATTCTGACTAACTGACTAAATAGAAAGAAAGCAATCGGTGAAGGAACAGATACTTAATTTTGTAACTGTTCATGTCTATTTGACGTGTGATAAACATGGTGCTGCGTCATAAAGCTTGAATTAGCAATGCAGGAAAAGATGCCACGCATGCACAGAAAATCACAAACCTTGACATTAAGGTAATCACAAATAGCATCCAATATGAATTGAATCTCATCCTCATGTGGTTCAGGAAGCAGAGTAATAGGGGTGTTGGAATCTGTGGTGCCAGCAATTGTTCGTCCCAACCATGGAAGCATGAAAACAACACGTCCATCCTTAGTTTTAGGAACAATCAAACCCATACCCTCAGGAGAGTAATAGTCAGGAAGTACGATGTGTACACCGCTGCTTGGGCATATCATTGGTTTTGCATCTTGATCTGCCATCTTCCTTAAAGAGTCACAAAATGGCCCAGCAGCATTCACGACAACTTTTGCATATGTATCAAACTCTTTCCCTGGTAACTTAAGAAATTCAGTAAGAATCACAACGTTCAAAAAAGAAACCATTATATCATCATTCACTTAATTACACTACGGTAGCATATAAGCCAGTTGTGGAAGTGTGAGCTCATTCTACCTGATAAGTTGTCTCGGATTCTTGCACCAATTGTCCGATTGCTAGCCTCATCCTTCAACAAATCAACCACTTCTGCATGGTTAAGCACCGCTGCACCAGCTAAGGCAGCAGTGCATGCCAATCCAACATTAAGACGCGCGTCATTCATCTGCCCATCATAATACACCACAGTGCCCTTCAAGCTTTTATTGTTACCCTTCCTGGCAAGGGTGGGGAAGAGCTCAACAGATTCTTGTGCAGAATAATATCTGGACACATGTAAGAGCCGTAGTGCTGCAACCAAATCATACATTTTCAAGCCCATCCAGTAGTATACTACCTCAAACCAGTCAAAACATGGTGTCATGCATGGCAAAGCATGGCAGAGGTGCGGTGCATTGTCAATAACCTGTTTACGCTCCTCAAGCGCATGAAATACCAACTTCAGCTGCCCGTAGTCAAGATTAAAAACAGCTTTCTCCAAGTACCGAACACCTAACATAATAATTATCTTGCATAAGCAACCAAGATAGTTATTTTACATAACCCGCCAAGACGGAAGTCAAAAACTTAATTATAAGCAATTACCTATTAGAAACTAAAATCTTAAAAATCTTTTTAGACAACTCAATGATTACTAAATCCAAACGAAAAAAGCCGAACGTCATGTCATATCTTACAGCTAATTCAACTGGTATTAATATTTATCGTAGCAATATGAATCAGCCGAATCATACAGTCTAAACTGAAAGATAACAACACAATCTCAGACTATTCTGTCTCGATTTACAGTTAAGATCAATATAGACAACGTTATAATGCATCAATCTACAAGGTCAACGAAATTATAACGGTTTTGTACATTGATCAACTCGTGCAGCTCAATTTCTCTTCAACCACACAAATGCTAACAGGAGGCAAAAACGACTACCGAAACAAAACAAAACGTCAACAGCAACAGCAACTTTAAGGACCGGAAATGACAAATTGAGACGACAGGGAGATCCATGTAATGCAATTAATTACGCAACACAATATATACAGAGAAGTATGAATTGTATATGTACGGATACGGGTACGTATACATGTATGATTGTACATACGCTATACGCCTACCTCCATGAATTAGCTTAGTGGACCGCGACGACGTTCCAGAAGAGAAGTCCTCGCGCTCGACGAGGCCGACGCGGAGGCCTCTGGTGGTTGCGTCAAGGGCGACGCCGCAGCCGGTGGCGCCACCGCCAATCACGAGAATGTCGAGCGGGTTGGCAGCACTCGCGCCAATCAGAGCGGCCTCCTGAGCCGCCCTGGACGGGACGACAGCGTTCGGGTCGCTGATCTTCTGGCGGACAGCGCCGAGAGAGGAGGGCCCGGCGCCACGGTCGCTGGCGGAGAACGAAGGCTGGAGGAGAAAGGCGCCGCTGGCTGCGGTGGCAACGACGGCGGCGGCTCCGAGCCGGCGTAGGCGTATAGCTGTGGCCATAAATTGAGGAGGGAGGGAGGGCGGGATCCGTTCGGTTGAAGAAAATGGTTTTTGCGTTGGGAATCGTTCGCGGGGTATTTGGATTGAGAGTGAGATGCTACGATATGGTGTCGTACGTGTTCGTTGAAGGAGTGACAGTTCCTTCAACCACGCTCCTTTTATTTTCCTTTTTTTTATTATCTAACAGCACTCCGCTTTTTAATGTGTTTGTTTTTGTTTTATTACAATTTCACTAGTTTTTAGGACTTTTCAATTTCAACTCTTTTTTTTAGTACAGTGATATACTTGACATTAAGGCAGCGTATACGTAAAGGTAATCGGAATCAAGAAACGGAATTGAATTCCAATTATGGCACATTCCAGTGTTTATCAAATCTAGAGGAATCAAAATTTAGTGGGCCTCACACAAATTTTGGAATCCAATTCCAATATTTGGCTGATTTGGATTCTCAACATAGAGAAGGTATTTGGATTCCAGATTGCTTGGGCAATTGAAAATGCTAATTTTTTTCCCTTTATGCCCTCACTTACTTTCATTATTTCCAAGATTATCCTTTTTACCCTAGACTGCATTTTCCTTTTCACGCAACTCCTTTCTCTCTTCTTTGCATGCCTTTCATGTGTGATTGCTGCTTACCAATTCGAAGTTCACATCCACCAGCTTGGAAGAATTTGCTAAAGATGTTTCGAGTCTCCATTATTTCCTTAAAAGACAAGAAGTTCTCCACCTTCCATGTGAAGGAACTTCTTTTCCTGTTCTTTTCCACCTTCTATGGAAAATTTTCATCTGTTCACTCTCGAAAACACAAGCTGAATAGTTGTTACGTTGTATAACACATTTATAAAATTGTATCATTCCACCATATGAAATTTCAACTGTTCATGACATACACAATCCTAAGAACAAAATGAGCACGCCTAAGCATAGCTCAAGTAACATCAAGCACAAAGAGCAGGTTATAAACAATATATGCAAATCATGGTGGTTTACGCTATCTTGGCTAGCATTAATACATATTTGATTTGGGAGAAGGGCATTTTAGTAATCATACTGGTTTATATTCCGATTCTTTTGAATTAGTAAACAGCTTTATGAAATTCTAGTCCGATTCCAGAACATTTAAGTAAATAGTTTCAACAAGAATCCAATTCTAACTTCTCCTCGTTCCAACTCCTCCTCAATTCAATTCCTCCTATTTTCATTACAGTTACGTAAACGCGCCCTTAAAGAGTTGAAAGGAGAAAGGCGAAAGGGAGTTCAGTCAAGATACATAATAAATAATTTAATTTAGAATCGAACTCGTCATCTATGAAATTTGAACTTAAAACCTCTCAATTATAAATAAAAAAGAATATCACTAAAACGTAGTACTAGATGACTTCAACTTTTTTTTGTTAAACTTAAAAAAAAAAAAAAAAAACATTCTTTCTAAATAAAAAATGCTACATTTACTGTATATTTGTAAATTTTAAAAAGTGAGACTTACAGTTAAATTTTTGAAGCCATCCCACCCACCACCCCGACCCCCACCCCCCCCAAAAAAAAAAAAAACAACAAAAAAAAAAAGAAAAGTCAAATATCTCATATTCATCGACCACCCATCTCTGTAATAATATTCCACTCTTTTTTTAGTGTAGACAATATTATTTGTTCCAAAAAATAAAAATTGACAATATAGATATATTGTAATGACGAGAATGTCCCAATCTCCAACTATGCAAATGAACCCCATCAGCTCCTCAATCAAACATAAAATATCTTCGTTAAATAAGGATCAAAATAATAAAAATACCCCATTTAATAAAAAAGGGATCAAAATGATTTGTAAACAATTGAGAGTATTTTAGTCATTTTATCATTATGTAATGAAGATTTTTTACGGAGGATCAAAATGATTGATAGTGGAAAAACTCATAGACAAATTTTATTAATTTTAAATCTCATAATCAAAATAAGGAGTTATGTCAATTTCAAAAGCTCTTTTAGCCAAAAAGCCTATATTATTTTTAGGGCACGGGCCTAATTTCGATAGTACCAAAGCAATCTAAGTCCTACCCAAGGCCCAGAATAACGAGTCCAGGCCCATTATAAAGTTGCTTCAAGCAAGTTTCATCGTCTTCGTCTTCGAGCAGGCGAGCCTGCTCCGCAACTGAAAAATTGGAGGTTTTGGACTGCCATGGCTCAGATTCCCAACTTAGACAATGCTCCGATCAATCTCACTTCCCTCAGGTACTATCTGATTACAATCTCCATGTAATTTCTAATTAATTTTGTATTTTCTTCCTATATATCTATATATGTATATATATTATTTAATTTTTGTTTGGATATTATGGTACAACAGGGAACAGTCTCAGAGGGAGCTTGTGAACATCCTCAAGAATGTGAGCTCCAATTCGTTGATTCAATTTAGTTTCCGTTGAAATTCAAATTAAAAAATGTCTTGAATTTTGATATTTATGATTGTTCTTGAATTTGCAGATTCGAGGAAAGAAGTGTTTGGTCATCGATCAGAAGCTCAGCGGCTCTCTCTCATCGATCATCCAGACTTCGATCCTCAAAGTAAATATATCACACCGTTTCCATAGAAATTCAAATTTTCTGGTGAATTTTGTATGGTTTGTGTTTGTGATGCGATTTTTATGCTTGTTAAGCTGGAATTTGAAGGGGAACTCACATTCGAAATTGATTTTCGGTTCTTAATTTCGGAAAAGCAGTTGTTATGTTCAACTGAAATGAGCTGTGAATAATGCAGGAAGCTTTTTCTGGTGGAATTTAGATTGTAATCGTTGTTTTTTTTTACTGGTGCATGCAAACAGGAACATGGGATTGAATTGCGACATCTTTCGGCTGATCCCATTCAAACTGACTGTTCCAAGCTGGTTTACCTTGTCCGTTCAGAGCTCACTTTGATGACGTTGATTAGTTCGCATATTCATAATGACACGTCAAAAGGACTGCAGAGAGAATACTATGTTTATTTTGTCCCTCGACGTACGGTTGCTTGTGAGAAGGTGAGAACGCTTTGGCTATTACAGATGTACTTACTCGCAATAAGTTATGGTTTTTGATAGATGCAATGTGCGTGTTTTTGGATATTGAATGATGATAGATACCATTTTGGTTTTGCAGATCCTTGAGGAGGAAAAGGTCCATCACTTGTTGACTATAGGGGAATACCCGCTATACATTGTTCCTTTGGACGAGGATGTTTTGTCATTCGAACTTGATCTTTCTTACAAGGTACTGGAGAAATTCCTCATTTTATATTTGTGAATTTATTTTAATTATTTTGATTTGAGCTTCATATGTTCAAAACTCGTTATAAACCACTGATTTATATTTATTTACTTTCTCTTTTTGTTTATGCATGGTAGGAATACCTAGTCGATGGTGATACAAGCTCACTTTGGCATATTGCAAAAGCGATTCACAAGCTTGAGGTTGTCAAAAATACGTGCACAATTTGCTCCGTTTACTTTAACTTTAAGCTTTCGCTTTTGAAGATATTTCTGTGATTTATTTGAATCACGTAAGCACGAATCCTTTCACCATATGTGTGTGTATATATATATATTTATATGACAGGTATAAGGTTAGAGCAACAATTATGAATGTAGCCAGAAATATGCTTCTTGTTACTCTAGTTATTGTTCTTTGCCTGTGGGTGAAAATTGTGCCTTGTTTATTGTTTTGTAGTTTTCTTTTGGGGTGATACCAAATTTGAGGGCGAAAGGCAGGGGTTCAGTGCGTGTTGCTGACATTCTAAACCGTATGCAAGCTGAAGAACCGGTTAACTCACCTGATGTAATTTATACATGACTTTAAGCTCCTTCTCTTATGAATTAGTTTAAAAAGAATATAAACTGCATACTAAAATGTACGTTTCATATTCCCTCCACCAATATATCTTGCTTGTGACTTCAGATGGTTGTGCCAGAGATAAATACTCTCATCCTGTTAGATAGGGAGGTACTCTCTCTCTCTCTCTCTCTCTCTCTCTCTCTCTCTCATCCTGTTAAAGTTACTTAGTTTGCCACACAACATGGCGTGTTCTGGCCATTTCTTGTTGGTACATTTATTTGCAAGACATGCAATAAATAACTTTAGGTTAATTTCATGAAGTATGCCATATTAATCAATTTGTTCACGATTTAAAGTTTTTATTTGGAAAAGGAATAGGAAATTGCAATAGTGAAATTATGAACTCTTCTTTATAATTATGGCATACCAATCCATTAATCAGAAAGTTACAAACTCACATTCTGCTACTGCATATTTTAATGCAAGTGTACTGTGAATTGTGGTTTTTGCTTACATCGACTATTCCTTGGATGTAGGTGGACATGGTAACTCCCATGTGTTCTCAACTAACATATGAAGGGCTTCTTGATGAAGTAAGTCATTGTAAAAACTGGAGGAAGTATATATTCAGTAGAAAAATCAATCACATGTCATGGTTATGATAAAAAGCTGCATGGGTATGGTAGGTAACTAGGAATAGCAAGCATGTTAAAATTTTGAGTTGCTCGTGAGGTTTTATAATCTGGATTATAGCATACCAATTCAATTGGCATGCTAAGAATGTATGCAAGTTTTTCCAATAACTTTTTCATTTGTTTTTCATTAAATCATTATATTATAGAATATATCTACTCTTATGAATTAATTGCCTAAGACATAGATTTGTAAGTCAACTGAACCTAAGTCTTTTTTTGTATTAAACCTAAAACGTTAATGAGAAACCTTAAATTTTCTGAATTGAAAGTAAAGAAGAATTCTTGTTTGTTTGTAATTTGAATTAGTTGTAAGCTATCCCTAATAGTTTCAGTGCAGTTTCTGCATATCAACAATGGTGCTGTTGAGCTAGATGCATCTGTCATGGGGGCTGCCCAACAAGAGGGAAAGAAGATGAAAGTTCCACTTAATTCAAGGTGTTTCATTGTTTGCTTGAAAGAATTTTTATGTAATTCAAGGGCATCATGTCACACATATACTCATTTGAAGTCTTTTTGCCCATCCATAACACTCGTTGCTCTCAAATGCCTATACCATCGTAGTCTTTTCTTTTCTTAATTGTTTTTCTTTAATCATTTTTCTTCCTATGTGCTTCTTTGGTCCTCTGTCTTTTCATACTTATTTTCTGTGTATCGTAATAATCACAGTGACAAGCTGTTTAAAGAGTTACGGGATCTCAACTTTGAAGTTGTTGGCCAGGTTGATCTATATTCACCACTTTAAATTGTTCTGTTTGTTTCTTTTTCTAAAGCTATTTCTTCTAAGTTCTTATAAAAATGAAAAGAAATTCTTCCCAGCAGTTCCATTTCTCATTGCTACCTGCAGTATGATTGCAGATACTACGTCAAAAAGCACAATCAATGAAGCAGGACTACACCGATGTGACTAGCAATGTAAGTGAATGTTATAAGACCTAAATACTTGCCCTTCTGCAATCATGAGATGATTTCGACTCAATTTTCTATTCATGAACCTAATGGTATTACCAGAATTTTATTTTATTTTTTTCTAATGAAGTGCTATATAATATTGCATATAGAACCAGACAGTTTCTGAATTGAAGGACTTTGTCAAAAAACTGAACTCGTTGCCAGAAATGACTGTAAGTAATTCTTTAAATCATTCATTCATTATAAGAATTCATCCAGGGAGTTTTATATTCTGATTTGCTACAATTATTGCTTCAGAGGCACATAAATCTTGCTCAGCATCTGTCAACGTTCACGTCAAAGACATCATTTCTTGGACAACTTGACATGGAACACACAATTATTGAGAGTCAAAGTTATGACATGTAAGCTGAATTTAGGCTGCTGTTGAGAACTTACATGTTTGGGCTTTTTATGCTTCTCATTTTCTTTAGCCATGTAATTAAGACTGAAGGAGTTTATGAATGCAGATGCTTTGAGCATATTGAAGAAATGATCCATAAGCAGGAGCCTCTTGTGAATGTCCTACGTCTTCTCATATTATTTTCTATTACAAATTCTGGGTTGCCCAAAAAACATTTCGACTATTTAAGGCAAGTGCTCTTCATCACACACTATGTTTAAATTTAATCCTTTTTATTTTATATCTTATATTAAATGGTTTTTGTATTCTTGGTTTAGGAGAGAACTACTCCATAGTTATGGATTCGAGCACATGGTTACACTGAATAATTTAGAGAAAGCTGGATTGCTTAAAAAACAGGTTCATTTTTATTTTACCCTCACAAAATAACGCGCTAGTTTCATTGAATAATTTAGTAACTGGTGAATGGACCTGTGTGCATAAAAGAATAAATGTGGATTCATTGTACACGTCTGAACTTTGCAGGAGACGAAAAGCAACTGGCTGACAATTAAACGTGCCTTGCAACTTGTAGTTGAGGACACTGACACTGCAAAGTATTATTCTTCTCAACTTTTGATTTTCTTTTGGCAGTGTTCCCTTTTCTGTGGTACTAACTTGGGGATGCAATTTTCTTATATCACAGCCCCAATGACATCTCCTATGTGTTTTCTGGATATGCACCTCTTAGCATTCGCCTCATCCAGCAAGCTGTTCGATCTGGATGGTGAGCCTAATTCCTTAACTAAAATTTTTGTTGCATGTTCGTTTTCTTTCTGTGTTTGTTTGTTTGTTTCTTATCTTTTTTCAGTAGATCCCATCAATTCTACTTCACCAGGAGTATATATTCTGCAAGTCATTTGCCCTTTGTTATAGTCGAGCTCTTAGAAAACCACTGGAAATGATAAAGATACACGATCTTTGGTTGTAAATTTTCATGATCTCGATGCGTGTTTAATTTGCTCTAAAACATGCAACTTTTTTACTTTCAGGCGTCCTATTGAAGAGATTCTGAGGCTTTTACCCGGACCACATTCAGAAATAAAGAGAGTAAGTACATTTCTTGAGTTATTCGTTCTTATTTTATCTTTTGTGTGTGTATATTGGATTACATGTTAAGCTGCTTTTTTCTGTTGTAACAATTTTACAGGGCAGATTCTCAAGCAGCCCGTCGGTAGACACTTTGCAGGGGCATTCGGCCAGTGTAGACAAGTATGTCCCAACTGGTCTTATTTTATAAGAGTCTGCTCTGAGTACTGTATACTTTGATTTGTTGTTTGCTAATGCTGCATTTATACTTCAATGCAACATTTCTGAACATATCCCAGGGTATCTGATGGAAGGCGTTCTCTAGTACTTGTTGTCTTCATTGGTGGTGTAACGTTTGCGGAGATCTCTGCTCTTCGATTTCTCAGTGCTCAGGTATGTTAATTGTTTTGCACGTATGAAATCTACGACATTTCATTATGTTATACAATTTGGTAGATGGATGGGTTGAAGCACATTTACTCCTCTCATCTGTTGTCTGCGTCTTGTCCTAATTCCTAATATCTATGGTAATTTGGATCTTGCAGGAAGGGATGGCATATGATTTGATCATTGGGACCACGAAAATGGCCAACGGCCGCACCTTGACCGAAACATTCATGGGAAGTTAGATTGACAAGTAAAGTTTTGCTGGGTTTCATTTTCTTCTCCTTTCTGCCTCGTATAAGTAGATCAATCCCGTGTGGGCTAGGCTAATGCTGTGTTTGGTGCTTGCTGAGATCAAACTTGTTCTTATTGTTCCATATATTTTCTCGTGACGATTTAGTGGCAGCAATTTGAGTATTTTTTTCGCGTATTTTGTTCTGTTTGAATATACATTTTAAGTTTTTTTGTATTAAGTTTATTGTGGCGAAAATGGAGAAGCTTAAAAGCACTTCTAGACGAGTTATATTCTACTTTTTTGTTACTGCTGTTTTTCTAATACATTTAATTATTCACTCAAAGAAAAAATTGGATTTTTTTTTAAAATAATGTTTTTTGACAAACGATAGCGTTAGTGGTTAAATTGTTAGTTGTTAGGGGAAGGGAGATTTGTGGGGATTGAACTTGCATAAGGTGCATAAACATGATTGTTTTACGTTAATGCGGTAAAATGCCATTTTCATAGTTTACAAACCTACCGTGTTTGACCTGGAAGAAAAGCACATATTTGTTCTAACAAATGAAATCGGAGAGATTGCGACGCTTCCATATTTTTTCACAAATAAAATACTCAATTTGGAGTTCCAGTTAAGTTGACAAATTTGTTTTACTATTGTGGAAAAGCTGGCCACATTGAATTGCATTCCTGCCTTCTTTTATAGTACTCTACTTATCCCCTTCTACAAGAAACACCAACATGTCACCACCGCAATATAATGCATACGTCGTATAGTACGCGTAAAACTACACTTTCTCCATCCTAATAATACGTACTAGGATTGTTGGGGAACAAAATCATCGTCGACTTGTTGAAAGAGCTCCAAAACGCCTAAAGCTTTTCTCTTGGCCCTATCAGTGCCACTTTCCGACAGTTCCTTCATTACCTCTTCTGCGCCGAGTTCCCTTGCTAGTTTCAACTGCTGCAAATCGCCTGTGCATAACGACCATAATACAGCAGAAGCATTCTCCCGGTTGCGTGGGAAGCCGGTTCTTATAACTTCCACCAAGACCGGGATTGGCTCAGCTTGGGCAATTGCTGCCTTCCCTTCTTGGTGGCTAGCCAGAATGGCCAGGATCGCTAGTGCTTCATCCACCATCCCACTTCCCGCATCCTTGAGCAAACTCATCAGTGGGGGGACAATGCCTGCCCTTACAGCCCTGGCCTTATTTCCCTGATAGATTGAAAGATTAAAAATAGCGGTAGCAGCATCCTTTTTCCCCCTTGGAGTCCCCTCGCACAGCAATTTTATAAGGGCTGGGAGAGCCCCAGCAGCTCCAATTGCCACCTTGTTTTCGTCTACAACAGACAAACTGAAAAGGGTTGCAGCTGCGTTTTCTCTAGCCTCCATGCTGCCATTTTTCAAAACATCTACTATATCGGGTATAGCTCCTGCATTTACAATTCCTACCTTGTTGCTGTCGTTTATCGAGAGGTTGAGAAGTGCTGTAACAGCATGCTCTTGGGTCCGAGGATCAGCGGATGATAAGAGCTCAACAAGGAGAGGAATGGCTCCTGCCTCAGCAATACACACTCTATTATCTGCGTTCCTCTTTGCTAGCAAGCGGAGCTCACCAGCAGCTGCTCTTTGTTCTTCTGAGTTTCCCTTTGCTAGCCTTTCTAACAAGGAAGCAATAGAAGTGCGATCACAGTCTGAAATACAGCTTCCAGCTTTTCTGTTCTTACCATTCCCTTGCTTTTTGGGTAGCTCAACGCCATTGCTTTCACACCACAAAGCAATTAGACTCTTCAAAACATAGTTTGGTGTTATGGCCGTGTGCAACAATGTCTGCTGCGTTTTGGGACAGGTTTTGTGTCCTGCATCCAACCACTTCTGAATACAGGATCTTTCGTATGTCTGCAAAAATAAGTGAAATCATCAACCACAATGAAGTACAATAGAGAACTGACAAAACTGCATGTTGTTAAAGAAGTTCAAGGATGTACCTGTCCAGTAGAGACAATCACAGGATCCTTCATCAATTCTAATGATATTGGACACCGAAAATCATCTGGGATGACAGGAGATCTGTGTTTGATCGTGCTCTTGTCACGTTCAGAGTTCTCGACTTCTGGGTTTTCTTTAAGCACCAAGTCCTTTAGCTTCTTAAGCAGAGATTGCATGTTTTCAAAGTGGTCCCCTATATCTCCGTCACTTGCGATAACCAATTCATGGAAAGCAAGTGACTCTTTCTTTAGATCGTTGATGGTTCTGAGGTACAGCCTCTCTGAAAGTCTTTTTATTACTGCAGGGTCAAGATCTTTGTCTCTTACTGCTATGGCTAAATCCATCTCCAGTTGCGAGTCAAGGCAGTCCTTTTTTTCTTTTGCTCTTTTGAATTGAGCATGTACTAGTTCAATCTGAAGGAAATTACAAGGTATAGTGCTTGTTAAATACTTTGAAATTAACAGCATTAAAAAAACGCAAAGAGAGAAAAGATGAACTATGAGTCATTTTCTGCTAATAATTTCTTCTATGGAATGCAGGTTGTAAACGTACCTGTTCGGAAACTTCCTCTGACATGTCAAATTTCTCATAAGGAATTTTACTCAATGCTGCTTCAATTTTAACTGTCATTTGGTGAAACTTATCAACAATCTCGTCCCTTTGCAAAGCCTGTTACATAAAGAAAACAGTCTACCATTAAATCAACTAAATCTGTTTGCAGGGCAAGAAGGCCAATGCACAGTCTTACAGCAAATGTGTTACATAAAGATACATGCTCGTATCTAGTGCTACCTGCACCACGCTTCAAATATGGATGTTATTCACATATACATCCATCTTGGAGGATGCCAATCTTACTTTCTAAATGAAGGCACAAACTCACGATGAAAATGTAAACAATTGTACTACATTTGATCATTTTATTTAGTTAAAAAGTAGGATATCACAATAGAGCGAGAGTACATGCAATTTATTGTTAGAAAACCTCCTTCGTATGAAAGCGCAACACTCTAAAAGCCAAACTACGAGGTCCTTAACAAGAAAAGCTATCACAACAACTTAATTAAGCTGGCAATGAATTATTTCGTGGAACGTTCACTTGCGAATTACATAGATGAGAAGTTTTCAAGTCAACAAACATGGAGCTCGAAAGACTATTCGACAGAGGTTCTTAACTTGAGGCTAGCACGAACATTTTGAAGTCTTAATGACATTTGGTTATGGAAATGTCAACAAGATTCGGTTCATTTCCCACTAGCTAACATACTTTTTAGTCGGTTAAGGGCTATGAACTAGGCAACGTGTACGATTGAGAAACTGTGTACCATTAAGTTCTTGGTTGTTTTGTGTATTTTACATGATTGAGTAGAGTTGTCTACTTATTAGATTAGCAACATGCATAATTTGTTGCTAATTAATTAAGAAATAAAACATATTTCATTGCAGCATTATGCTCCTTCCATCAGAAAACAGAAAGGACAGAACTTGAGTTTCAGAATCCTTTTCGAATTAAAACTGCACTCGAAACTACCATGTGTTCCTAATTACTCTCCTCCTCGGCTAAGAACTGTAAATCCTGCAAACTGGGAACTTCGAATGCTATGGGAAATGCTACCAAAACCCAAAACTTTACTTTTCTCTCTCCACTTTCCTTCGTTTTCTCAGCAACCAAACAGAAAATAGAAAAACACAAACCAAACAAATTATGCTCCTTCCATCAGAAAACAGAAAGGACAGAACTTGAGTTTCAGAACCCTTATCGAACTAAAACTGCACTCGAAACTACCATGTTTTCCTAATTACTCTCCTTCTCGGCTAAGAACTGTAATCCTGCAAACTGGGAACTTCGAAAGCTATATGAAATGCTACCAAAACCCAAAACTTTACTTTTCTCTTTCCACTTTCCTTCGTTTTCTCAGCAACCAAACAGAAAATAGAAAAACACAAACCAAACAAAGCGAGTACCTGATAAAGTTTGCTCCCTTGGTTGACCGACTTGATGAGCTCCTCAGCCGAATTCAAAGCCTCCCCCAGCGACTCCAAAGCTACAACTTCTTCTTCCCCCAGCGCTTTATCGCTGTCCCTCAACTCCTCGAACAGAGGACTCAAAAGCTTGACTCTCCGCACGAAGTTCCCGTACATCTTCCTGAACGCGTTTCGGCACTCGGGCAACTCGGAAATCGCCTTCACCGACTCGGCAAGTTGACTCAGTACTGAATTGCACGGAACCATGTGAGATTGGGAGCCGAATTGGAGCGGGAGGAGTTGGAATTGGAGGTTTGGTAGGAGATGGAGACGACCCAGAAGAGGAAACTGAAGGATTGGGATTGGGATGGCGGTGTCAAGGAAGAAAGGGGCAAAGTTGGAATGTAAAAGTAAACGGCAGGTCTGGTGGTGGTGGCAAAATTGGAATGTAAAAGTAAACGGCAGGTCTGGTGGTGGTGGTGGTGGTGGTGGAAGAAGAAGGTTGGTGTAGATTTTTGGTAACGTGAAGAGTTGGAGTTTGGTCTGTCTGTCGACTATTCGACGATGGCTAGAGTCGTGGAAGTTTTAAAACTCACAAATAAATAAATAAATGAAAATAGTTTTACAATTTTCTCCAAGTCTGCGATTTATAGTGTTATTTGTTCGGATAATTCTTCACAGTTTAACATTATTATCACGTTAAAATTATAAAATAGATAATTTTAACGAAATACTTCTGGTATTGTTTATTTTTAACAAAAAAAATCATATTTTTACTTTTTTCTAGTACTATTCATTACACATTTATTTGTTATTTTCATTAAAAGTAAATTTTTTTTAGACTTTTCGTAATTTTCCTTATAAAATATGGTACAAAAAATATAAGGTGATAGAGATTTAATAGAAACTCTCACTTTTGAGAGTCGTCTTAGCATTTCTTGTATGCAGAATTACGAGATTTATTTAATACAACAATCTTATTTACAATAAAAGTGAGGTGAAATGTTAAGGAAATTATCAAAAGTATAATTTTTCATAAATTCTATGACATTTCACAATTTCAATTTTTGAGTAGTACTTTTTATAGTTGAGTTTGAATCTCTTGCTCATCGTGTTTAGAGCAATTTAAGTTAATATCGACTTTATAAAAAGAAAAAAAAAATCATCCAATACAGAATATAGTTTTTGTCGCAAATGGTCGTTACTATATTGATAACAAGGTTTAATGGGCCCCAATTTAATATTAAACATATATCGTCATCATATTTGTATGCCTTAAACTTTGAGACATCATTTCCAACTAGGTAGAAATTTTGGTTAAAGAAAAAGTGATGTCATTGAATTATGGCTTCAT